GCTTCAGATCACCAACTGACGGTTGCCAAGATGAAAGTGACGCTAAAGAAGCAGTGGACAGCTGGAGAAACAGCATTACAAAGGTTCAATACAGCCTTCTCTCGACATACTGACAAACTTAACGAATTCAAAATAACTCTCAACAACAAGTTAAAAGCTTTACAAGATCTACTGAAAGAAGAAGAAACTACGATGGAGTACAACTGGAACGAGACCAAAGAAGCACTAACTTCAACGTTTCAAGAGATGCTGGGCTGCAGGAAGCATCACCATAAGGAATGGATCTTTATCGAAACCCTGGACAAGATTCAAGATAGGAAGAGCAAAAAGACAGCAAGTAAGGTTAGCCGGACAAGATCAGAGAAAGTCAAGGCACAAGCTGAATACACTGAAGCAGACAAACAAGTGAAGAAGAGCATTAGAGCCGACAAGCAGAAATACGTCAAAGACCTAGCAGTGACGGCGGATAAAGCTGCGAGATAGCGAAATATGAAACAACTATACGACACAACGAAGAAAATAGTGGGGAAGTATAGTAAACGAGAGAAACAGACCAAAGACAAAGAACGCAAGACTGAAATTCAAGGACAGAGGAACAGATGGGTGGAACACTTCGAGGAACTCTTGAATGAACAAGCTCTATTGAATCCACCGAATAACAAAGCAGTATACACAAACATTCCGATAGATGTTACTCCACCAACGATCAAAGAAACCAAAATGGTTATCAAACAAATCAAGAGTGAGAAAGCAGCAGAACCTGACAATGTACCAGCTGATGCACTGAAGTCAGACACAGAAGTAACTGCACACATGCTCCACGTCTTATTCAGGAAGATTTGAAAGAAAGAACTAGTGCCGATGGAAATTTTCTTCGTTACAATGATGTACCTGAGAAGATTGTCAACATCATACGAAATTGATAGGACGGGCTACACTGGAAGGTGGTGCACGGAGGACAACTGACAGATGCATTCCAAGTGAGGACCATAGTCAGACCAGGCTGCTTACTCTCCCCCTTCCTCTTTCTTAAAGTGGTTAATCACATTATGAAGACCTCGACATCCAAGAGGAATCACAGAATACAATGGACAGGTTGGATGCAGATAGACGATTTGGACTGTACAGGTGAACAGACGCTTCTATCCGACACACACCAACAAATGAAAATGAAGACAACTAGTGTAGCAGCAGCCCCTACAGCCGTTAGTTCCAACATACATAAGGGAAAAAGCAAGATTCCTAAATATAACACGGAGAACGCTAACCTAATCACACTTGATAGAAGAGCTCTGGAAGAGGTGGAAAATCTAACGTAGCTGGACAGCATCATTGATGAACGTGGAAGATTTGATGCAGACATAAAAGCAATGGTTAGTAAATCAAGGGCAGCGTTCCTACAACTGAAGAGCATACGGAGCCCAAAACAACTGCAAGCCAACATCAAATTCAGAATCTTCAATACGAACGTCAAGACAGTTCCATTGTACGAAGCTGAAACGTGGGGAAATACTTCAACTTTCGTCAAAAATGTACAGCACTTTATAAACAATTGTCTGCAATATCTTCAATGTCCGTTGACCAGATATCATTAGCAACAGCCTACTGTGGGAGAGAAATACGTTGGAATTGGATAGGATATACAATACGAAAATCATTAATCTGCATCATGAGGCATGCGCTCCCTTGGAATCGTGAATGGAAACGCAAAATAAGAAAACCAAGGAACATACTGTGCTGGGAATTCGAAGCAGACTTGAAAAGGGTGAATAGTATCTTTGAAAGAACTGGAAAGGATTGATCAGGACAGGTTGGGTAAAGAATGCTGGTGGGTGGCTTATACACTTCCATAAATGGTAACAGGCTCAAGTAAGTAATTAAAGTGGTACTTGATGCTCCAGTATTTCACACTATGAACAACTTACAATTTTAAGATTTTTTCTTAGGAGTTATTACAACCAACAAGTTCATCGGTCAACAAGTGACTCATCTGAACTCAACAGATTTGTTCATGTCAATCATTCGTGTCATGATTAGAACGTGATTAGTTTCATGCACGACAAATTATCATTTGGCCGCATGTTTTTTGACCTTATTTAAAATGAATTTATGACACTAATATATGATCTTTAGTTTCCACTAAGAATAACACTAAGATTGATACTATTAAGTATTTTTTTAACATGTAGGTTAATCCAACATTTAGGCATAAATGGCTCACCAACTCTTAGTGAGTCACTGGATTCAAATTTTAACTATGATGATCGACGCCGAGGTGTACATTTATCTAAATTATGAGTTAACGAATAGACCAAATTCTTTTCTTCAATTCTACTACCACTGTTTATCTGAAAAAGTTATAATCCAAACGTTAAAAGATCCTTTCAGAACCAATCAAAAATCTATATCAAATATCAATAGAATCATTTTGACTTGAAATGGTTCTCTATTAATTTTCCTCAATAATTACAGTCATATTTCTCAGATTTGAGTCCGATTGAGTCAGTCATTGATGCACTTATTTCTACACAGAGAAATCTATTTTAAAAATAATTCCCGATGTTCATTAATATCTGACTTTTGAGTTAAGTGCAAAAGTCGTTTCATCTCAGTGTGTATACAGTTACAAAAATAAATCTACACATTCTACATCTGGTTTTCAGCATGTATGAGTAAATTGTCTTCACCTCTAGTTCCTCTATACATTTGAAAGTATTATACGTCAAACAGTTGCATCAGTGGATTTCCTGGTTAAATATGAAACTTGATTATTTCCGCCTGGAGCCCCTCTGGGGCCACTGTCAGTCCCGGGGGGTAGCGACCCCATGGCATAGAAAACTAACTAGCTAAAAAGCACGCTAACCAGAAAAAGTACCCGATTGACTAGAGTTAATAAATACTGAAGATTAGACAGTATATCACTTATCATTTACCTACTCGACTGCATATGTGTTTAGAGGATTCTGCTCTGATAATTTACTCTTTTAAGTGGTGCAGATATAACTTTTACATTTACTTATTACTGGACGGCCATTTTGTCCCACCATTGGACTTCTCAGCAGTGCTCATCCACGATCCCGCCTCGTGAGATTAGAACCCAGGACCTGTCGGTCTCGCGAGCGAACGCCTAACCCTTAGTGAATGGCTTTAAGAGGTATTCCCTGGAGTTTTACTGCGGAGCAGTGACCAGTGGAGTTCAACCGGGTCTGTTGTGAGATAGTAACTCACTGATGATAGTGGTAGATTTGTCACTAAATTTCGTGGATTAGTTGAAGTTAAACATCAACATCGTTGGACGCCGGCCGGCTCAGTGCTATAGAGGTTAAGCATTCACACGCGAGACTGATAGGTCTTGGATTGGAATTTCACAAGGTGGGATCGTAGATGCTCACTACTGGGGAGTCCCGCAATAGGATGAAATGGCCGTCCAGTGCATCTAGGTTTTCCATTGTAGTCTAGTTTCAATTGACCGATGATCTCAACTATTGAAATTACTATTATATTCACAAAAACCCCCTCCATTATATAAGCATTCACTTGATAATTACCTGGTGATATTCAAAGTTAACAGTTTGATACAACTGAATCACAGCACATCATAGATCATTTTTATTAGTACTTATTAGTCATAAATGTTTTTCAGTATTCTGCCTATTCAGTAAAAATAGTTCATATGTGAACAGAAATACTTGGTTCATTATTTATTGAATTGAGATATGCACGTTAATTCATTATTACCTTGGAGTAATTCACAGTTTAAAAATTACCTCCTTTCCATTAGTTCTTTCTTATTGTTTATCTTTATACATCATATAGGTTGGAAAATGATTAACTAAATTAGTAACCAGTAAACATGCTAGAAATATTTTATCTCGATTGTTATGGGCAATGAAATAAGTTCAAGTCATAGTTCAGAAAGAATTTCAGACCATTGATTATGAGTTTTGAAAAAAATGTCTCTTAAATAAATTTTCATAATAACTCTACTATTTAAGATGACAGTTATCTTTTTTTCGGATTTTTTTTTCAATACATTATTCAAGGTAGATACTATTGTTCGAATTAGATATTCCAAGTCAAATTTCTCATTAAGAAGCTTGCATTGTTATTCTAGTTTACATCATCAGTATTCATTCAAGAAAAAAGTTGATAAAACTAAACTATCTATGCAACATTATGTTTTACCAATATTTTGCCAAGTTTTAAAATAGCATTAAAATACTAGTTGTGTATTGGGTAATTTAACCATGTTACTTCGACCAAGTTTCTTTATTTTTATTTAATAATTGAATTGATGAGTCAATTGAATCTAAACCACCATGAAAAACCTAGAAGCATTTGATGGTTGTTTCATCTTCAGCAGTACGCATCCACGATCCTGCCCCTAGAAATTCGAACCCAGGACTTATTTTTCATTACGTCATTCAGAATAATCAACCTATTTTGTTCAAATATATTAATTATTTATTCTAATAAACTAATTTTTAACAAAAACAAATAATAAAATCTCACTTCTATCATTTAATCAAGGGTAATAAATTAAAAATAATTAAATAATTAAATAAATATTTGACTTATTAATTCATTTAATTAAATATAACGTGATCCTTTAAAAATTTATTATATTATTAATTCTTTTTCCCAATAATTAAAAATATTATTGATTGTTTCTATGAGCCGAATATTATTCATTCATTCATTCATTCATCTATTCATTATCTTTATAATCTATTCACTGTCTGTTTGTCTATCTAATCTAATCTAATGATTGGTGTATCAAATATATAGACATAGAAACTAAAATTATGATAGGTTTATTGTATTATCAAGTTTAAAAGCAATGAATATTGAATATAATTTTATTAAAACATTAATTTATTATGATTAAATTGAATTAAGATTGATCTATGAGTATAAATTTGGATTAAAATAAGTAATTTTTTTATGTAATCGACAAATAAAACAAATTACACTTGAATCATTTATTGTATAAATATAACATTTATAATAATTATTATTTTAATAATTACAATATGACTGATCGTCATCATCAATATAATAATAACACTACTACTACTACTAATAATAATAATAATAATAATAATGAAAAACATTCAGTTATAGATGGAAATTGTACAAAAGATGATTGTATAGCATTTAGTAATATAAAAGAAAATCGTACATCTAATACAAGTATTTTTATTGATAATAAACATAATAAAAATAGTCAAAATTCATTTCATTTATGGAATTCACATAAATATAATCATATAGACATATGGAGACCACGTAATAGATGGGAGTTTTGTTTTATATTTGCAGTGATAATTGTTGTAATTTTATTGATTATATTTATTAGTTTATGGGGAGCTCAATTGATCGTTAATCAGTGTAAGTTATTGATTTTAATTTTAATATTTCTATTAAAATTCTATATTCATGTTTTCTTTTTCTATAATCGTCACACTTAATAATGAGAAGCGGTTTTGTGGAGATTTTAAAAATTTCACCAGTTTAAATCATGAGTCAATTGAAGCTAGACCACTATGGAAAACCTGGAAGCACTGTACGGCAGTTTCGTCCTATTGTGAGACTCCTCAGCAATGCGCATCCACGATCCTGACATCCATGAGATTCAAACACAGGAATTATCAGTTTCTCGTGCGAACGCTTAACCATTAGACCACTGTTCCGGCTGGCATCCATTGATGTTAATAAGGAGTCCCATACTAGAACGAAGCAACCGTCCAGTGCTTCCAGGTTTTCCGTGGTGGTCTAGCTTCAATTGACTCATGATTTCAACTAGTGATATTTAATAGTTTTTTTTTGAGTTCAGTGATAAGTAAATGTTAAAAACCTATAGAAATTATATTTTGATGATGTTATGATCATATGCAGAAATGAGTTCATGAATAAGAGAAAATACTAATTCTTAATAAGTAACGAAACCTTTATTTATGTTATTTTTCTTGTTTGAATTATTTAATAGCTGATTGACAGGTAATATGTGAACCTATTTGAAACTGGAGATAACCCAAATCTAAAATTATGTTTTTATTTTCTGAAGAGTGGATAATGAACACCTTTTTTGAACTGAATGCCCTTATTTTAGAGTTTAGTTAAATTGAATATAATAATCAATCAGGATTGATCTCAACAACCAATTATGTTCTACAATGTAGTCCAGAAAAGGCCTTAATTTGCTAAGAAAATTAATCATGTATATTAAATATTCAGACTTTTAATAAATTCAACAAAATCTATTTGTAGGTTGTTTTCTTCTTCAGCCCAGTTCTATACTAACAATCCTTAAAATATATCTACATATTGAAACTGTTTGCAATTTACTCCATAAGCTACATTTATACATCTAATGACTCCCTGTTTGCATTTGTGACTCAGTGTAAGAAACTGTTTTCCGGAAATATTTTACATGGTCTGACCACTTAGAACATGAAGTTCGTTGACATATTTCATCTAAAATAAATTTCATATCGGTACTGGAAAATATTTAAGCACGGATATCTGCAGTCATAAATGTTAATGATTAAATTTTATATTTTGATTTTGATTTCGGATGAAAACAAATAGCTATTTGATTCTTATTCACAAGTATATAAGTGTTCACATGATTGCCTGGTCTTCTCTCTGTTCCTTGTTCAAATTCCAGATATTAGTAGTATATTGTTTGGGTACTCATTTTCCAATTAACCAGGAACAAAGATGATCCTTAAAATTATCTTCGTAGTTTTAGGTTTGTAATTAGTTTTACTTTATTGTCTCAATCTATGGCTTCACAGTCCACTGTCAGAAAATGCATATGATTACTTAAGTATATTTTGTGATCAATGATCATGCTAATAATTCTAATGTTATTATTAACACCATTCACTAAAGGTTATGGCAAAATGTTTAGAAAACAAAATAGGTAAATAAGTAATCCTTATTGTGATCAACATCGGGATGCAAACAGATTCAGCTGACGAGTCTAAATTGAAAATAAACATTTATCTTGGATTCCACATCTTGTCACTTATCAAATATACTAGAAGGCATAGAAAGTTTTAAATTTTTCTATTTTTAATTAGTAATTGTTTAATTTCAGCGTCAGTCACTGGTTAATTGTTTCTAGTGATTATTATGCATTAAATCTACTAGCTATTGTTAACCTGCTATCTCAGATATATTGGCTTTCTGGTGTGAGAGCTCATTCTTCATTGTACGACTGATACATCTATTAAACAGATAATTACAAGAAACTGACAAAAATAGGTATGAATGTAATTTCATTTGAGAAATGATTTGATTTTTTTAAATTATCAATCACGATGCAAGCAAAAGGATTTGACAATATTCTTATGAAATATTCCTCGGAAATAGTTTACATTTATTTATTGATTATTTACCAATCCCTTAAATTGTCACTTATCTATTAACATTATATTAATCACTTATTAACTACTTTGTTAGAAGAATTTTCCAAACTACATGTTTATTTCTACGATTTTTCTGAGTTTTTTTTATTTTATCTATATTTGTGTATTTCCTATTTCAGACATTTACAATGTCTGCTATAACTAATTGAATTTTATACGTCATTTAATATTGACGATATTTTAGCTGTACTACAAATAATCAACTTTCATACATTTAGTTTTCTTCATCATTTTCAAGAGAGAAAAAACAAAGATTACCATTATTCTGTTCTTAGTTACCTTAATACAAAAACCATCTAATGTATCCATATCGGGATTCATAGGGATTGTAGTATTTTCACAGTTCCATTCATTAGTCTATCTTAGCTAGACCACCACTTTGCCGTAGTATAGGACTCATCAGCATCGCGCATCCATGATCTCACACGTGGGGCTCGAACCCAAAACTTTTTGTCTCATACTCACTAATGAGTAACTTCTAGTAAGAATCTGTGACTAGTGAAGCTCAACCGCGTCGGATGTGAGGCAGTTATTCACCTCGGATAGTGTGTGAAGGGTTGAAAAGGATCATAGATTGATTGGAGTTAGATATTAACACCGTTGAATGCCGGCTCAGTGGTCTAAAGGCTCAGTGTTCACGTGTAAGATCGTGGATGTGCGCTGGTGAAGAGTTCCATGTTAGGTTGAAACGGCCATCTAATGTGTATTTATTCTATTATTTCTAATCATCAGTTCCTGGTTATTTCCCTTTCACACTAATTATTTGTAACGGAATTTTCATGATCTTATTAACTATATTGTAATTTTCGCCACATCATAATACATATATTATTCTCTTATCATCGTCGAATATAAGAGTATATCAATTTCAATGATAACTTTGACTTTAAAACATTATAGGTTGTAAGCAGATGATAAGGACCTGGGTAGACAAAATGAATGCATATAATTCAGCATCATGCTTTGTTGTTTCTTTTTGTTTTCTTTAAAATAATAGATTTTCTGCTTATAAGATTTTTAAGTTCTTTCAGCCCACCACTGTATTTTAATTCATTAAACTTGAAATTATGAATTATATTTCAATAAAAAGAACATTTTACCATTGTAATATCATGGTTTATCATTATGTCTGTTGTTAAACAGTTTTTATGACAAATGGATGAACAATATACTCTATAGGTATAATTAACTAACATGACGTAAATATGTTTATATAAAATAAATAGTTATTAATATATATTTCTATTTCGTATCATTACAACTTATCATTACAGTGAGGTATTAGCTCAATTATGACAATGGTGGATGTGTCATTAAATTTCGTGGATTAGTTGAAGTTAAACATCAACATCGTTGGACGCCGGCCGGCTCAGTGCTATAGAGGTTAAGCATTCACACGCGAGACTGATAGGTCTTGGATTGGAATTTCACAAGGTGGGATCGTAGATGCTCACTACTGAGGAGTCCCGCAATAGGATGAAATGGCCGTCCAGTACTTCCAGGTTTTCCATTGTAGTCTAGTTTCAATTGACTGATGATCTCAACTATTGAAATTACTATTATATTCACAAAAACCCCTTTGATTGTTTGAATTAAATTTACACTTGTTTAAATCAACCAATAATAATAATTGCCTAATTTATATATAAATAATTTTTTTATCGGTCTGATTTAAATTATGAGGGAATTAGCAATTTTTTCAAAATAAAGTAAAATCATTTAGGAATAAAATAGTTTAAAAGTAATACAGTGTATTACTTTTCCAAAAGATTATTATAATCAATTCAATGCATAAATGACGTTAATTTAAATAGGAGATTAAAGAATAACCTTGGACTAAAAATAATTAAATCTAAAACCTTTTTCAATAATAAACATGTAATGTTATTTGAAAAATTGATTATTTAGACCACCTTTGAAAATGACTTAACAATCTAGAGTATTTTCTGTTTTCTTTTTTACTACCAGTATCTCACTAAATGAATGAATTGAAGATCAACTACTTGATCTGACCACTGTTATGAGAACGTTTCTCAAATCAAATTTTAATTATTTACTTTATTTGAGTAAATGAGTTAATCAACCATTTTTATACCATATATTTGATCATGATACGATCATCAGGCCAACACTGAAAGTTAAAAAACCTTTGAATAGCTGTTTCGTCTCAGCATTAAGCTCCTCAGTAGATTATGGGTCTGGATTCAATTTGTGCTAGTGGATTTATGGGTGTGTATCGTTGATGAGTCCCAGATTAGGACAAATGGCTGTTTAGTAGTTTCTAGTCTGCAATAGTGAGCTGAATAAGTTCAGTATGTGATTTAATATACGGAAATCAAAAAATTGGTGCAAAAACCTTGTGCTAATTTATATCAGTCTAATTCAGAAATTTACTTCAGGAAGGATATTTTTCCATTTTTTTTTGTTGATAGTGTCATACTGTGAAACTGGACAGAACATGTGTAACAAAGATATATTGATAATTGTTTCATAAAGGGTTCATTCTAAACCATGTCCTAATTATAACAATCTATGTCCTGGTGAGAAATAAACATTGTTTATTCACCTTATAGGGTTTGTTCGTTATGCAAAAGTACCTCAGGTACTTACTGATTTTGTATATCATTTAACATTCCATTTATTCCTGGTTACATTTTACAAAAAGAATGTATACTTATGACCTCCATCAATTTAATTTATTGCAATGAGATTTGTAGAAGTAACATTGATTTATTTAACTAAATGTTGATGGCTTTAGTTCACAAATCTTTTTATGAATTGAATGTTAATTAACAAAGAGAACTCATGGAATATTGTGAAATACAATTTCATTGAGATGTAGCCAACAGGTCGTTATGTATATGTCCGTTAGGTGACACATTTAAACGTCACCCTACCTTCTTTTGTTTTATACAGCTAATTAGAACTAATTACTCATGAAAACTGTGTGATTAA